AAAATCGAAAAATGCGGCAAACCAGTTTAAACTGTAATGGGAATTAAAAGGATTCTCTAATTTGTTATTTATTTTAAATGTGTAGGAAACTGAGGAGTCGACATCTGCAGACAGTGATGTCTCTAGTGCTGTCCTTGGTGTATTAAGCAAGTTAGAAATTGCCGATGAGACCTTTTTAAGCCCTGAAACCAGGAGCACAACGTCTACTCAAAGCGATGAAATTGTTCCCTCTCAAGCAACAGCCGCAGAAATGCAGCGTAGCCTTCTGAATGAGTTCTTGGTGGCTTGGAATATACTGCCGCTTCAAAGAAAATGGTTGGACTTTAGCAGTTGCAGTGAATCCTCTAAACAAAGGTATACAAGAAGATCAAGCGACATCGTAGCTGCAGTGCTAAAAACAATTTCTCCCGAAGATGCTTGCCTTATTTGGAGAGCCATGACATCAACAGCTTCCATGAACAAGTTGCTTGGTATTGAAGATATCTCACAAGCAGATCAGCGTTATCTAGAATCCCTAACAGAAGCGTATAATAACGCCGATAGCTGGGATACCCGCCGACAAATCCTTTCTGTAATGACTGGTGTTGCTGGTTTTAAAATTTTAGCCACCTTCATTCCAGGGCTAACAAGGTACTACCCTGCGAGCAGAGGCTACATTTTCGCGGTATGAGCTGGCGTGCGAAAAGTAGCCTCTGCCGACAAGCGTTCAAATCCGTCCAGAAATCTGGACGAATAAATTTAAAAAAAGGGCTTTTTCTTGTTCTTGACCGGTTTATAGCATCGCGTGAGTCTTGCGTCAGCGAATGAACGCTGACCATTATTGCGCCTTCATGCATCCCTTCGCGCCAAATTCTCGCATACGAACGCGGATCAACGCAGCTCAAACGTAGCAACAGGAAAAGTTCAAAACAACTTCAAAAATCCCTGTTTGTGTATTTAAAAGAGCGTCGTCAACAACTTAAATAAGCTCTGTATTCTAAAGCTGTCGGAATACCAAAACAAGCTGCTGCCGGTGCTTCTTACGGGACCATGTAAAGATCGTTAATTTATCATATGGTAGTTCTTGTTTGCCAGGAAAAGAAAATGGATACTGCGGTGATTTTTGTTGTGTCGCCTCCCAATGCGAGGCTAAATGCACTGTTTTAAGACACAGATGGAAACCGGAATGTTCAAACGAATCATCGATCAATTTTCTTTTGTGGAAAAAGCAGAAAAAACGCGTTTAGCTGAACACTGATTCGCCCTCAAGGACTTCAACCTGGTTGGCTTCTTCACGAAAGAAAACTAAGCGGCAAAGTTTTTGAAGAATTTTCAGGTACAACTTGCACATTAGTGGTCAACGAAGTTCCGTTTTTAAATGGAAATTTAAGTATTTATAGTTCTTTCAAAGATGTTTTATTCGACTTAAGACGGATTTTGCCTTTGACATTTAATGTCTTCGGCAGCTTTTACTTGTGTGAAATGATCCACGATCCAGCTAGTATTACGCGAATTGCTTTTAAGGATAAAATTATGGGCTTTCGAATAAAACTTTTCGATAAATAATTTTACTGACTACCGTTTTGTCTATGTTCATTCATAACATTAGTTTAAAACACAATCGTGAGACTACAGCATCCAATTTATTTCAAGCATCACTTCGCGTAGCGTTGTCGGCGAATATCTTTCACGCCGGAAAAATGTGCTCCCCGCAAAACAGACAGAACTTACTACAGTTGATAGCATAAAAATACTTTCCTAAAAAAGACGATCCGTGGAAATTTTGGGGCTAAATTACTTAAAACCAGAGGGGGCGAAACAGAAAAACAAAACAAAAGCTCGAGGAGAGAAGTTCGCAGGTAGTTTACGCAAGTTTGATTCCCGCGAAACTCACGCAGATTTGACGAACCAGTTGCTTGCTAATCGCGTGACGAATTTTGCGCATGCACGATAGAAAACTGAACGGTTGTCGGCAGAGGCTACTTTTCGCACGCCAGCTCATACCGCGAAAATGTAGCCTCTGCTCGCATTGTAACAAGGTACCGGTACTCTATGGCAAATCTGCACCGCCTTCAGTTTGGTCGAGGCGCACCTGTACCTCCTCGGGTGTCAACAAGAATAAAAGTAGATCTAAAACAGTTAGATCATTTTCTGTGCTTTATCACAAGCCCACACTTAGTACAAGATCTTCCGTTCGGACAGAAACAGTTGACTCTTTCGACGGGTGAAGTCATTAAAGTCCCCAACGTGATAAGAACCATGATACCTCAACGAATCGTGCGTCAATATACTCAGTACTGTGAAGAGACTGGCTTTAAGCCTTTTAGTCAAAGCACGATGTTGCGCATTTTGTCTCAATGCAGTGCGTCAGTAAGAAAGTCTCTTCAGGGACTCGATTACTATGCCGCGGATGGTACACGAGTATTTCATGACCTGATATCACTGGTGCGTAAAAAAAATGAAGTGGAAAGTGACATGGATTGGGAAAGACGAATGATCGTGTCGCTCAAAGCTGCTAAGCTTTATCTAAAAGGAGACTACAAGGTATGTTTTAAGCAAACAGAAAAATTTGATGGTTAATGCATTAATAAATTTGGGGTATTGATAAGTATAGGTACATTTCACCTCAGTTCCCGCCTAATCGTTAGTACCTATAAGATACTAGAAGACATCACTGTTTACAAACATTGTAATTTGTAACGAGTGAAACAAAATAGTCTTTTGTTACAAGAACCAAAGTGCTTCTATCCTGGGAGAGACTTTTCTTGCCTGGTTTCCGGTTTCTGTAAAGCCTTAACAGTGAGCCGCATTTTTCTCAAGACTTCGGCCGTCGGCCGACGCCGAGGATTCCAGCAGGCCCTCCGCGCGCGGAAAAAAACCCTGGTACCCAGGGTAATGCACTTCTCGTTGGCACATTAATTATATCAATAGGTGAGGTAAGCTTGAGTATCGCTATATCCTCATCCCATGTGGGAAAACGTTTGTGTGAAAAGCGTATAACTTGGGTAGCAAGCACATCCAGGCGCAAAAAATATGAACTGAACCGCTGTTGTGGAGTGTAGGTGATCGCCCGAAATAAGTTGATTAAATGAGGCTTATTGCTTTTGCAATGAATTGATTTGTTTGCAGGTGCATTTGGAGAAGGAAGCTAGCATACCAGATCACTGTGTAGCGTTTTCATTGAGCGATGCTAGCGATCCAGACTACCAGGTGCAGTGCCAACACAATCACGAAGATATCTGTGAGCAGTGTGAAGCGCTAAACGAAACTTTAAGGGAAATTGACAGTCGCATTAACTGTTGCCATTTTTCGTCTGATGACGAGCGTGAAGAAGCGATTTACATTACGCAGTCATCGAAGCTTGCCATCCGTTCATGGCAGTGCCACATATTACGATCATTTAACCAAGACCAAGCGCGACTGGACTTTCTTGACCTTCTTGACAATGACACAGTTCTCATTGTCAACGACTGGGCAATGAAGTTTCTACCACAGAGGTACCGAGAATCGCAGTCTGACTGGTTTGGAAAGCGTGGCATATCTTGGCACATTTCCGTGGTCTGTAGAAGATCTGACAGTCAGTTACAGTGGCAAGGATATGTTCACATCATCCAGTCATGCAGTCAGGACAGTACCTCTGTGATATCAATCATGCAGGATGTGCTTCGCTCTGTCAAATCCGAGTATCCAAACGTAACGAAGGCCTATTTTCGGCAGGACAACGCTGGATGCTATCATTCGTCCGCAACGATCCTTGCGTGCCCTGTGGTTTCGAGTTCTACAGGAGTCCAGATCAGACGCATTGATTGCAGTGATCCACAAGGCGGTAAGGGAGCTGCAGATCGCCTTGCGGCCACATGTAAGGCTCACGTGCGCATTTTCATCAATGAAGGCCATGATGTCACGAATGCCACTCAATTAAAAGACGCTCTTGTCTCACATGAAGGAATTGATGGCGTCCGCGTAGCGTGTCTGAATGAAATCACAACGGCATCACCAATCAGCGAACCAGCGAAGATCCACAATGTCAGTAAACTCAACAACTTTGAGTTTACAGAAGGTGGTATCAAAGCATGGAGGGCATATGACATTGGCAGAGGAAAAGAAATCAAAGCCGATACCTCGACAACAGGTAACGCACAGTCTTGAAGTTTTTGTTGTTTGTATTTGGGACCCTCGACTTTTTTAAATTTTCATTAAAAAAAACTTAAGGATAGCTAAAAAACCCCTACGTAACCGGGAAGATCAACTCAAAAGCAATAAGAGCAATGGAAAAAATAATACCAATATAGCAATACATACAAAGCTCCTAAAACTGAAACACAATAAAATAATATCTATCTCTACACTGAATTTATTCGTTTACCCAGTGTCGTTTTGACACTTATAAATTTCCCTATTTACAGAATCCGAAAACAGGTGGCTAGAATCTACATTTTCTCCGGGGAAATTCAAGTCTTTCGGCCATAAAGAGAAAAAGCATGTTGACGACGACGAGTCTCCCAAAACAAGAGAGAGTTCCAGTGACGTACAGGAGAGTCAGACCAACTATGGTTTATACACTTGCCCCGAGAGTGGATGTACAAGGGTTTTCCAACGACATTTGGCATTAACGAAACATCTGTCCTCTGAGAAATGCATACGGTCCTTGGAAAAACACACTCTCATGGATCTTGCTAAGCTTGGCTATCAGCAGGTTTTAGAAGAGGGTGTCGGTGTCGTGCCAACCTTAAGAACCACCAGCGTCGCAAACAAACAATCCAGAGAACGTTTAACAGAGGGATGGGCGTTGCGACCAGCTAAGAAGGCGTACCGTTTTAGTGTAAAGCAGAAGGCCTACCTCACTGCTAAATTCAACATTGGTCAGTCCACTGGACGGAAAGTTGACGCAAGTCTTGTAGCACGTGATATGAGACATGCCCACGGTTCGAATGGCGAGCGGCTTTTTAAATCAACCGAATTTCTGACCTCTCAGCAGATATCTTCATATTTCTCTCGCCTTTCCGCGACAACTCGCCAACAGAGCCTCACCCATGAAGCCGACCTTACCGCCATTGAAGATGATGAACTTTTCCACGGCCAGAGACCAGGTGATGGCTTCTGTCACACTCCAACATCCCATTGTTTTTGACCAGTACAACATCTGTGCCATGGCAGAAGAAGACACATTAAAGAGCTTGAAGGTTTCGTTGCTTCAGGTGATTTGTCAAGGCCTCAGTCTTGACATTCCCGATCAACCAATTCGCCGTAAAGCTCCATACCTGAAGTTGCTCAAAGAAGCCATCAGTAATTGTGGATGCCAAAGCCAAGGCTGAAATTGAGCACTGAATAGGTGATGCTAGTCCGGGGGGGTACTCCTAAAAATTCTTGGTGGGGGTGTGCCGCCCGTTTCTCCTAATTCTGACCCTACTCCAGACCAAAAAATGTCATTTTCCACACCCGTTTTCAGACCCGACCACTAAAATCCATACCCGTTTTCAGACCTGGCCTTTAGGTAAAAATTATGTTATCATTACTTAGATTAAAGCGTAAACAAAAAAAAAATTAAATCCATCTCGAATTCACATAATTATCTTTTTTTCGTTGTCATTTGGAATTGAAACGATAAAAACTTTCATACACTCCCGTAGTTCCTTCGAAAACCATACCCGATTCCATACCAAACTGGGCAAAGTGTGTACCTGTTTTCAGATCAAAAAGGCCCAAAAACCCTACCCGCTGGGGCGGCACATACCTATATGGCTTGTATAAGGGATTACCCTGTCCTGTAGTCCTGTCCCCGTTTTTTACTTGGCGCCCATCTGTCGGTCGTTTTTTAACTGATATTTTACGAAAGTAAAGAAAAATACGTGGAGATCTTAGGCTCGGTTTGGGCCGCTACTATTGTTAAATTTTTCGGAATTTTGGCGCGTCGATGTGGTGGTCAAAAAGTAGAGAGGTAAGGGAGAGAGATTAGGATACGAAAGGTACCGTGGGGTTTGACCGTGGGTTCGATTTTCTTTCTTTCTAATAGAAACACTCTCAATAACAGGTCAAAAATTTTCTAAGTGTCTTAAAAATGGCAGTGACCGTTTACGAAAGGGACAACTGCTTAGCCGCTCCCTCCTCTCTGAGAAGAGACTTTTTGGGGGAAGAGCGCGGGCTCATTTCCTAAGCAACTGCTGGTAATCGAGCCTACGAAAATCTCAAATACTTTCGTTGTAAGAGACGGACCATTACAAAAGTTATGGGGGGTGGAGTATTTTAGAGCCGCATGTCGAAGAATACTTTTTCGTTGACATTTCCCTTGCTTGAACTTTGTTAGGCCAATGCGGGAGTATTTTTAAGTCTACTCGGCGTGCATGAAGTATTTTTTCAGAATTTTTCCTTGCATACTGAAAAAAACGGGAAATTCTGAATACAAGATAATGTTTCTGTTAATGACAATTTAAACGGAGATGGCTTGTGTGCTCCAGGAGATTCTGTTAGTTTTGATTGCACAGTCCTTCTTTATTCATTGACAATTGTGCGATGTTTTGCAGGTGACTACCTAAAAAGAAATAACTAAATAATATGTTTTGTATTTCATTTTCACAAACTGTGTACAGCAAAGTACGTGACTTGAAAAATGTGACAGGTAACCAAAACAGGCCAGAGCCCCGATTTTAAGTGCTAGGCGACTTTGAAAGACGAGTGCTTCACATATTTGTGGCGGATTAGAATGCCGGCTTGGTCAGAGGCCCTTTGTTTAAAACATGGCGGGATACTCGCAGCTTAAGGCAAGCTGTGCCTTGTAGCTGTCAACATAATGCTTTTTAATTACATTCTGTCATAATTAAAAAAAACCCGATCCATGTTTGGTTGAAAGTAATTGTACAAATCTGGTACCAGGCAAACCGCTTTTAAAAAACAAAAACACAAAACTAGTTTATGGTTATTTCTCATTAATTTCACTTGATCAAAACAAATATTTACTTTTATCAGTTTTCCCGTTTCTTTCAAACATCCTTCATTTCCGGGCGTTTCACTGTAGTCAATGAAAGATGCGTTTTATCGGTCTTTTTTCGCGGGAATATCAAAATCTCCATCTTTCAAAACGCGATGAACCAAAGCTCGCAGGATACCAAAGTCCCGGTGTTTTGTCAGCACCCGTTAAAAATATTGAACGCCAAAACTATCAAGTTTTGGTACAGCGAGAGGCAGCTAGTTGTAGTTTCTGTACCCAAAGGTTAGTGCATGGACAGGCTATCGAAAGAAAATAAAGGGGATGGTTGCCCAATGGATAGCAGGCCTAACTATGCAAAATAAATGTCTCATTGCATCCTTGTCTGCGAGGTTAGTACTAAATTTACACTCTAGAATACATTACACAACTCAATCAGCAACACTTTGCAAGTAGAATTGGTGATCAGTGTGGGCAATTTATATTCCTAAGGGACGTCCGTCGCACAAAGGCTTAACGCGCGGGGGTTTTTAGTCAATGACTGACATAACAGTTTCCTCACAATCGACCCAGTTAGAATGCGATAATGTGCGCGTGAACTTTGCCTACAACTGGCAATAAGCTGAATAAAGCGGAAGCTGAACACCATGAATAAGTTACCAAATTACATCGCAGGTTCTTTTTCTTTTTTTTCAAGTACCGGAAGGGTTTTTCGTGCATTCTGTTGCGCAGTTTGGCAGTGATATACCGAGCATCAGACAGGTAACGCACCGAAGCCACCATTTTACTCTTCTTCTACCAAACAGTTTTCCTGCGATGGCTTTAGTACTGGTCCCGTTGCCGAAACCTTGCACGAGCAAGATACGGTAAGCGAGAGTCGAGAATCGAGAATCGATATTGTACTCGGAACAAGAAAAGGTCGCCGTCCAAGGAACAACTGATGCAATGCAAGAGCTTCAAGCTGCTGAGAATCGCCAATTGTGGATTACAAGCAGTGAAGGAACTCCTGAGAAGCGTCCAAATTATAAAGGAACTTTTGGAGGCCAGTCAGGCACGGTGATTGTCGCACCACGCATAAAGTAGAATAAATTTGTTAGCCTGGTCTTGTCTTTAACAGAAATCACGTAAAACTATAAAGAAGGTACCACTATGAACTCTGGAAAATGAAAATTCAATAATACTATGGTTGACGACTGACAGTTTAAAAGAGAGACAACCTTCACCTCAGAATCTTGGGCGCGCCGCCTGTAAGCTCTGAGGGAGAGGGAAGTCCCATAATTTGGCCTATTTCAAAAACAAATGACACTACAAAAATAACCTACAATTATAATTTCAAAAGAGAGACTACCATCACCTCAGAATCTTGGGCGCACCGCCTGTAAGCTCTGAGGGAGAGGGAAGCCCCATAATTTGGCGTATTTCAAAAACAAATGACACTACAAAAATAACCTACAATTATAATTTCAAAAGAGAGACTACCATCACCTCAGAATCTTGGGCGCGCCGCCTGTAAGCTCTGAGGGAGAGGGAAGCCCTATAATTAATTTGGCCTATTTCAAAAACAAATGAAACTACAAAAATAACCTACAATAATAATTTGGATAAATGACCGACATTTCAAAAGAGAGACTACCATCACCTCAGAATCTTGGGCGCGCCGCCTGTAACCTCTAAAGGAGAGGGTAGCCCCATAATTTGGCCTATTTCAAAACAAACAAATGACAATACAAAAACAACCTACAATAATAATTTGGATAAATGACCGACATTTTAAAAGAGAGACTACCATCACCTCAGAAACTTGGGCGCGCCGCCTGTATACTCTGAGGGAGAGGGTAGCCCTACATTTTGGCCTATTTCATAACAAATGACAGTGCAAAGATGAACTAAAATAATAATTTGGATAATGACCGACATTTCAAAAGAGAGACTACCATCACCTCAGAATCTTGGGCGCACCACCTGTAAGCACTGAGGGAGAGGGTAGCCCCATAATTTGGCCTATTTCAAAAACAAATGACAGTACAAAAACAACCTACAAAAATAATTTGTATTATGACCGACATTTTAAAAGAAAGACTACCTTCACCTCTGAATCTTGGGCGCGCCGCCTGTAAGCTCTGAGGGAGAGGGTAGCCCTATAATTTGGCCTATGACAGTACAAAAATCACCTAAAAAAAATTGTTTGGATTATGACCGACATTTCAAAAGAGAGACTACCTTCACCTCAGAATCTTGGGCGCGCCGCCTGTAAGCTCTGAGGGAGAGGGTAGCCCTATAATTTGGCCTATTAAGTAAAAAGCAAGTAACAATACAAAGGTAACCTGAAATAATAATTTTTGGATTATGATTGACATTTCAAGGAGGCTAAAATGACTGATATAGAAACCATACTGTATCTGTGACGTTGATTATACAGATCGCCCAAGCGAACACGAAGATGTTGAAGTGGAAGCTAGAATATCAGGAGTAATCCAGCGTCTTGGGCTCCTTCCAGCGAATAAGATTTTGGCGGAATTTCGACAGTGCTTGGCGGGCTTTTTGGAGAGTGATTTGTCACTGGAAGCACATCGACGCTTACATCGTCTTAAGCCAGAGAAAAAAGACTTGAATCCTTCGCCGTTTGATCAAAAAGGTCGTCTATTGAATCACATAATCGATCTTGCTGTTCCTCAAGGGGATGTGAAGTAGAGCTCGAGCTCTCGCCTTCGTTTTCTCCGGCGACTATAAAATGTGCATTGTTGACGGCTTTTCTCAAACGTTCAAATACAGAAGATTTAAAAATTTCTTTGGTCAGGGTCTTTTCCACGCCGAGTTCCTTCCAAACCGGAGAAAGATGTGCCAGCAGAGAGTGTATTCCTACTTGTGGCTCCACAGTAAAAACTTGATACGCCGACTCGCTGTTTTCGCTTCGAAGGTCACCAATGTTGACACGGCATACTACTCTTGACAGAAGTTAAATAAGCCATCGGAGCACTATTTTCTTAAAACAAAGCACTTGAAAGACCATTGAAAGTGTATCAAGCCTATTTGAATCCAAATGCGGCGAGAAAACTGTAGTTATCAATTGCGAAGCCAGAGGCACGAAGATCGACTTCCAAATTTTCAATCGACCGTGAAATGAATTTATAATACCCAAATAGTCTGATCAAATTTCGCGTCGCCTTGAGATGTCTGGTTCGTTTAATCAGAAGTACAAAGTTCCTTGACAGGCAATGTGTCCGGCGCTCTCCAAAGGTGTCTGGAGGAATGCTTAAAACTAATTACCTTGTCTGTTATTGGAAACCGATTTGCGGTGGTTGCTGTAGAGATTAGGCCTCCTCCTGCGCGCACTAAAATCGGGGCTCTGGCCTGTTATGCAACACCAAAAAAACGAGATGAATTGGCTTCTTCGTTTTCTGTGTTTATGGGAGGATTATTAACTCCCTATCTATAGTTCTAGTAAACAGATAAGTTAGTCTTTTTTTATGAAATGTATAAACAAGACGGAGGGTTTTACTCTTCTCCTGTAGAACTTGGAACATGTAACACGACATAAGATCAGTAAGTAAACATTCCTGATATTTACATAATTAAAACTTTGTGATGCGGGAAATCTAATTCTCAAGTTAGTATTATACTTTTTAAAGATTATTGTAATATATGTTTTATTTCGTTGAATCTTGTTTGGGTTTTTTGGACTTAACATTGAGTACGATAGCCAAGGGACGGACCATTTAAAATGGAACTGTCGATGGCCGGCCCGCCTCTGTCATTTTATTTCTTATCTCTTCTAATTTTAAGGGTGAATAAACTTACAATGGTTCATTTCAATAATACCTCAAAATATCAGTCTACTTTTACTGACATTGTTTGCTTGCTCCATGGTGCATTTTGAAAGCTTCTTTAGAAACTTTTTTACCTCCGGAACCATACACACGAGTTCCGATGCATCCGAGGCGATTTCATGACTCTAGCCCTCCAGCCCTTTTTATACCTTTTTTGTTATTATTGGACGGATAATTTCGTTTTAGTAGTCTCTCAGATAGAAATACCTGTTAAGGTAACAGAATTCCATCAATTTTTTGCGCTTTGAGGGGTAAGTTATAACTTCCGTTTGATTTTCTCCTCGATTTGCATATGTTTTCCTTTGTTTACTTTCCCGTTCTTGTCGCGGACAGGCGACTTGGAGGGCACAAGTTGAAATTTTATTACTCGCACGCGTTTAAATTCGCAGAGCTAAAACTTCAGTTGTAATTAAAAAAATAACAGGTCTTTCGTTTGGTATAGTAGTTTTTTCAATTTGTGACATACCAGGATCGACTTTTGACGGTTGAAGTTGGGCGTTATTTTGACTGCCAAAACACCACACAATGAGAGCGCACACAATAAAAGCCAGAAACTATATCAAAATAGTTATTTTGCAAAACCTTTTTACGGGGTCTTGAAGCTGTGGATGTCTGCTAAATACATGAGTAATATCAAGTCAATAGGAGCTTTGGCGCGCTTGTACTGTTTCGTTGAAATATGTTGAAATTTGCACCCGTTTCCCGAATTAAAAAATGTATTTTTTTGCGAATTTTGGAACTTTTCTAAAATTCTCAAAATGTAAAGCGCTTTGGGGTTTCTTAATATCGTTTCTTGAAATAGTTCCCCTAAAGGGATGTTTGGGTGGTATCAGCCAAAATTGGAATTTTTGGAACTGATTTGAGATTCTCGATATTTTCCGACATTGGCTCTTAAATGGGTCATTTTTGTCTGGTGAAACAACTATATCCCTGTATAAGTCTACTTTTCCAGAAAGTCGATCTTCCGAGTTATAAACCCACGAGCCTATGGTTTTTAGGAATTCATCATTTTCCAAATCTTGAAAAGGAAAAGATTAATTTGGTATTATTCTAATACCTGTAGCGGAGTTATTATGATAGTGCACTATTACAAGCTATGGAAAATTTTGGTAATAAATACTTAGTAAAGAGTAACAACACAATAAAAGTAATACACCGTCTACACTATAATTATCTTATAGGAGCGATTCCAATTCAAGACTGGTTTGAACGTGGGGGAAGGCTGCTCTTAAATTTATCGAGGGCTTCGTATGAATCAATTACCACTACGGTCGACTTATCTGATTCTTTAACATAGATTCGGCTGTTCTGAGTCCAGATATGTTTCCATTTGATCTTTTTCCTCAGCTTGTTAACTTCGCCGAACAGCTCTTTCTTGTACCTGGTCAGGGATTCGGATATGTATACTTTGCTTTCGGCAGTGATACCAAGATCGGGAAGGTCACTAGTTTTCTTGTCAATAAGCTTCCTTCGATTCGTATAGAAGCTATTCCTCATATCCCTTCTCGTGAACTTGACTATTATCTTTGGTGGTGCATCTTCTTTAAAAGTTGGCAATGGGTGAGAGGTCGATATATCTTCCTCCTTCACTTGTACGCCGATAGCTTGCCCAACCGCCATTACAAGCTGATTACACGTGTAACTCTCACTCGGCGGGACGCCCGAAATTTCAAGGCAGTCTCTCCTTAGATATTCCGCCAGGTTTTCAAAGCCATTCATTGCGTCTTGAGCCTGCTTTGTTGCATCGTCTAGGTCTTTCCGCATCTGCTTCAGACTCGTTCCCTGTCTTTGAATCTTCTCATTAGCTTGTTTCAACTGTGCAAGTACATCATCGTATTTCCCATTTACGAAGTCAACTAAACGTTTTAACTCCTGAAACCCGTTGTTCAGATTGTCTAACTTTCGTTCTAAGGGTTCTATTTCTTCTTTTAAAAGATTCTTAATCTCTTCTCGTGTAATACCCATTTTTGCGCCGTTTTGGACAGAAGGCCGTTCAAACCCGACCGACCGCCATCACGGCAAATGCATTGATCGACAGGTATTACAAAGTGCGATGATTATTACAAATTGCGACAGTACAGGGGATCGCTGAAAACTTTGGAAGGATTCAGACGGGGGACCACTCAAATTTGCTTGGAAAATGAAGGCATGGGGGGGGGGGATCGCGAAAGTCATCAAAAGTTATTAAGGGGGATCACTTCAGTGAAGTAACATTCAAAGGGGGGATCGGCCAAACTTCACCTTGTTTAGCCCAAAATCCTCCGTTTCCCAGGCGATAAATAATGACCAGTCCCTAATATCATATATACAAACGCTGTTTCAGTGAATATAAATTCGAGAAACATATGGTGCAATTTTTTTTAGACTTTTTTATCGGCAATTTACGTTTTGCGTTCTTAATGTTCCAAACCCATAAGACATGCTATGAAAGCAAAGAACTAGGTACGAATGAGAGTAGGTCATTTTCTCTAGAGGTGTAACAATATCCCAAGATCTTTAACTGGGGTACAACTTATCGGGGTAATGTTTACGTTTATGAGGTGGTAATCGCCTGTCAAATGCTTGATATTATCCACCAGGTTATGGAAAGGTGGAAAGGGTTCCCTTCATGGGAGGACTTCATCCCAAATTTATCGAAATTCATTGCAACAGTGCAACTGACTATGACGTGAGATTTTCCAAGAATTCTTTATTTGCCTCGAATTTCATATCTAGCCTTCAAATATTCGCTTTGACGTTTGGTTGGTTTTAGCTGCTTTATGTCCGCTAATAAAATTAGAAAAGCCAATAGTGTTCCCTAGCAAACAAAACTGATTGGTTCTTCTCTTTTCAACTCTTCACATTTTACTTTAACCCTTTCAACCCTAAGAGTGATCAGCATCAAGTTTCGCCTTGTAATATCAGTGCTTTGTAAAACAGAGTAGTCATGAGAATTGAGTACATGATCAGGGAAGATGAGTCTGATTGATATTTCAACAAATTCTCCCAACTACTTCTATTGAAAAAGTATAGGGACAGTAAATGAGAATCTAAATTATGATATATTAAAGGTGATATTAAAGGGTTAATGTTGACTTTTAAAAGAATAATCAGTTTCAGAATAATGGTTATTTAACTGTAGTCTTTCTTTCGTGATTTACAACCAGATGTCATGTATTCATAATAACGCCTTTCACACAGCTACACCTCAGTCATTTTAATTACAATTTAGCTATATTTACTTACGAAAATATCGTTCATTATGTTGGTAGTTAATGAAAGGTTTTGCTGTACATGTCTTGCAAATTTTGAAACAGATCGCGAGTTTATGTTCAAGGTGAAAACTAGTAATTACTCCACGTTTCTTCCAGTTGAAACAGCCGATAGCTGAACTTGCAACTTTATTCTTATTGTAACAGTTAAAATACAATAATATATTGAACATAATCGCTGTTTTGCTGACCTGGCTAGGTCTTTGTTCGCAGTACTTTTACTTTTTAAAATAGAAACAGTAACAAAAGATTTCAGGTTAAAAATAGATTTTGTAAGTTTTTATTTAACTCTAAGCTATTTCCGTTCATATTTCTATTGTATTCGATCTTTTGCCTTCAATGGTTGTAGATATCATAATTTTATATAGGAAAACTATTTTTACTGTTTTTATATTACATCGTGGATTTAAGGGTTGCCGGACTAACAAAAATACCCCCCGCCGCCTCTCTCCTCTCTCTTTGACGGTTTCGTTATGTTAAGATATATTTACTCTTCAGTTAAAATATTTGATTAGGCTTTGTGTGCTCCGAAACTATTGAACAAGATCAATTTTAAAAATGGTACTGTAAAGTACCGCTCTAAGATCATCGTTTTAGGTTAAGAAAACTTTTAGTACAGTGATGGGTCATGTGACTTGAATGTGACCGAAGCTCTTTCCACTCTGAAACGAATTTTAGGTTCAACGGGAAGACGGTGACTGTCGATAAAACAGGAGAAACTAGACTCAAATGCGGGGAAAAGCCCACACTTCTCTGTAGGACCGGGACCAAACCACTAACTGGTACAGCAGTTGAAAAAACAGAACTAAACTTTAGTTCTAAGAACAGCAGGTCTAACGGCATTAACTATGCGCACAAACTGTTAGGGTCACAGCTCGTTACATTAAACGAAACAAAAATCAACTTTGTGGTTACATACCAATCAAGCCAGCCCGGTTAACTGGGATCCCGGGATCGAAAAGGCACCGGGTAAAACGTCACCTCAAGCTAGCCAGCCCAGCTCATGCAATCAGCTCTAAGCGCTTGATGACACTGAATGACAGCTTGGATTCAATTGGCTGAGCCAAATCATACCATGAGAAAGACTATCACATGCGAGAAGAGAAACATGAGAGGAACTGAACTGGTTTATTCTCGATCTCCCGAAGGATTTTACAGGGGTCTATGATTGTGAGATTAAATTCACTATATAAATTCATAGATTTAGTCATAAATTTTATTGCCTAGGTGCCGTAAAATTCCAAAAATAAGCCCCTCCAAGTATAAGGCCCCCAAAATCGAAACCCAAAAAACCCTCCGTTACATAGCCCCTCCGAATATAAGCCCCCCCTTCCGGGGGCGGGGGTGGGGGGCTTGTATTTGAAATTTGCCCTCGAATACAAAGTAAAACAAAGCAAAAACGGTAAATTTCCTTCCCACTACAAGCCAGACCAATCGATTTTGAAACGCAAATTTCCCTCCATACATAAGCCTCTCCGAATATAAGCCCCTCAAAAAGAGTCTTTGAAATTCGGAATTTTACAGTAATGGATATGTGAACTTCAACTCAAGTGATCAAATGGGTCGGTAATTCAACGTAACATCCTACATCTGAACCCCGCCTGACCGGCCAATTAAGGATCCTTTCTTTTTATAACTAATCAAGGCCAGTTTTTACGTAAACTTACTTATCTTTTGAAAATTAAACTAACCAGAGGAAAATCGACCTTCTTACACTTTGTTCCTGTAGTCCAAGAGTCCAAGGAAGTGGTTCCTAGTTGTGCTCCGGAGGGGGCAGATTCCAAGGCAATCCAGTTTAATCCGCAGCTGCATTCGAGCCATCGATGTACTCGGAGATGCAAGGGCGAAATTGTCTTTGATCTTCTGATCTCACCCAAACAGCCGCACCATTAGTTGAGTTACCAGGTGAAACAAACACTTTCACTTGCTTCCCGCCAGAGAATGGCTCCTCGAAGGTGATTTTCTCGCAAGGAAATAACCCTGAGCTCTTGGCAGTGATATTATTGATTTTCCCAGATTTAAAACTGGCGGCTTTTAAAGAAAAACAACTGTTTTTAAAAGATAGGATACTCACTTTAGTTTTGAACTGTTAAAACAGGGAGCGTAAGATCCTTTGAAGTATTTTCTTCCTTGTGCGCCCCACCCCGAATTATGTTTCATTCTTCCTCACAACGCAACATACAATTTCAGTGTTGGAAAACCCCAAATACTATCAGCACTTTATGATATGTGTTGTTTAGAGTATTAAGTAAACAAAAAAACATTTTAAAGTAGGTGTACCTTGACTTCCTTGAGCAAGAAGCATAGCTGGAGCAAAAATTGCGAAGAGGACAGGCGTGACGTGTTGCTCTCCCGACATCTTGCTTTAACTAAATCAATAATTCTTTTCTTGAAAATAATATTTCCATTGTGTTCGCTGAAAGTCATTATTTCTGTTGCTTTGACAGTATAAAAGGGAGAAGTAAAGCACTGCATGATTTTCCTAAAATGGGTATAACTATTTTTCGAGTAAAGTTAAGGTCGCAAAAAGGGGGGAAACAGTCTTTGGAGAATTGACACAACTAGTCACATTGTAGTGGCCTAAAAATGCAACAACCTTAAAAACTAATATGAACAAACCTAGGCCCCTTTTTATGTTTAGTGTGTTTCTCCCCCTCACACTTATTTGCCCTCCAGGGAACAGAATGTTCACCCGGAAGTATTCTTTTTGAGTGTCGGGCTTCACTTGGCAATCATGGCTCATTCCTGTCTCTCGAAGCCGCGGTCTTTTTTCGCCTTTGTTAACAGATGTAGTCATCGGTTTACTCTTGATCAATGTCACTCATTACATGCCCTTTATTTCACCTGATGCACCTCATAGAACTGATTATTCCCAGTCCGAGGGCGATCAAAAAAAAATTACACTTTACTATTATAAATTTCTTTCCCAAAAGGTTATCAAGAAATCAAGAAATCAATCAACCAATTTATTTATGTCAATACGTGGGATGGGGTTGCGCCGATCATCCGAGCCTAAGGCATATGACAAAGCAAATAATGGATTTTCTTTACCGTTACCTTTCCTCTAACAAACAACTTTTCCAACCATTAAATTTGTATTGATAGCTTTTATCAAGGGCCTTTTGTTCGCCTTGACGAGTCGGCTGCCTTGATTCTTGCGCTTCCCAGAATAAAAGCAAACAATGCAATGAATTCAGCATATGACATCCTGGTCCACTTTGTGGATTTACATTTCAGATTGTCACTGTTGTTGCATTAGAGAATCAGCTGGGCTCTACAACACATTTGATATGACTAGAATTTCAACCCACTGTGAGAGGTATAACATTTTTTATCTGTAAATGTAAGATAATCTGTAGGTGTCTACCAGGTCTTACTGCAAACCAAATTGACCAAAATCATTCTTCGCAATACGCTAGAGGAGCAAGACTGTGTTGAATGGTTAAAGCCTCTGTCTCTGAGAGAAACAAGTCAAAATAGGAGTTTTATATACAGTTGGACCTTCTTTACTCATCTTAAAGTGACGATAAGTTGGCTATACTCTCGAGTAATCGTGCTCATCTTTAAGATGAAAAAGATAGTAACCCGGGGGAGGGATACTTCCTTATATAAGCTATATAGGTTTCTGCTACCCCATCGGGTACGGTTCTTGCGTCGTTTTGGTCTGAAAACGGGTATACGCTTTGCCCATTTTGGTCAGGGATCGGGTATGGTTTTCGAAGGAACCGACGGAGTGGATTTAAATATTTTTTTGTTTCCGCTCTAATCTATGTAATTATAACATAATTTCTGCCTAAGGGCCAGGTCTGAAAACGGGTATGGAAAATTACATTTTTTGGTCTGAAATAGGGTCAGGATTTGGAGAACCGGGCGGCATACCCTCACCAAGAATTCCCAGGAGTACGCCCCGAAGGGGGCAGCAATCGGATTTGCCAAGAGCCCAAGGCTCGGGCTATGCAAGAGAATCCAAATCCGGTATCCCTGAAATATTTTTGCTAATGGTATCTGGAATCCTGGAAATTTTGCATGTGGAATTCGGATCATGGGCTTTGGAATCCGGAATGTAGCTCAAGGATATCGGGAATGCCACTAACGATTGGAAAAGGGGAACCACGACGTGGATCCAGGATTGTCTTGGATTCCCTTACATGGGGCGACAAGGCGATGCTCTCACTCCAGATATCCCGCTAAAGTGGAATTCATTGATGACTTTTATTTTTTTATTTCTTTGAGCAGCGTTATTAGCAATGAAGATGGCTTTGAAATCAAGGAAATCTCAATAAAGTAAGACTGTGAAAGGCCAGAGGGGTGTTAGTATAACACATCAAATCGACTAAGATTCAGCTGTGTAACAGCTGTGTGAACTAGGTCGGTGTTTTTATATGGCAGGAGTATTGGGAAGCATTGGGTAAGAAAGATGTGAGTTAAGATGGAGTTTTCCAAACCGGCTAGCGACGGGGGATCTGTAATAGAGACTCGGAGAAAGCAGGCTTTCATTCTCAGAGGGTCCCCAATAGGGTTTTTCACTCCCATAATCCCGACCCAAAACTTCTTGCAATCTCGTGATCCCGAGGGTTATTTTATCGCATCCCACCTCCCGCGCATACTTTCAATCCCAAATCTCGCTCTGATTTTACTTTAAAGTCCCGAATCCCGAGCTTCAAATGAGGGAAATCACGTATCTCGCAAAACCTATTGAGGACCCTCTTCTTAGCATGACAGCCCGTTAAAAATCTCGCAGGGGTCAAAAAATTTTTCTTTGTTTCGTAATTAATCTCAAGTTTCTTTCTAGAGTCAATTCGTTGGGTTTCTCACTTTCAGCATGCGCAAGTATACAATTGACTTTTCGTGGCCTTCGTACGAGTGTGACCTGTACACTTGATTGAAACAGTAAAACTCCACCGTCTGGCCTGGATTTAGCTCAGTCGGTAGAGCGCTCCTTCATGCAATCCTTGTAATCCTGAGATTCTGGTCGTGAGTAAAATGACGCCAACTCGCCAATAGCCTATTGTCATACTAAATGAGAACAAACACAAGTGACAGGTATTTCACTAAATTGGACGTTTATTTCTCAAAAAAGGGCTAGTGTCCTTGTTATTAGCAAGCAAGAGTCTGCAGTAGAAAGGGAATTTAGCTGCTGTTCGTACTGCCGATGTACGTGCAAGACGAGAGTGACTGTACCTATAGTCGCTATGCATTTCGTTTCCGATTTTACAGAGTGCATCCCTATACCCACCAATATTAAAACAAGTAAGCAGATTCATATATATCCCGCACTTCCCGGTACATCTTGTCCTAAGTAGTAACACATCTGTCCATCGCTGTTTATTTAGCAACTACATGGCGTTCTTGGACTCAGTGTATATTTGTGATTACCTTGACTAATGACACAGAAACCTGTATTGCTAATTAAATGTGTTATTTTAGTACCTAGTTTGTCTTCCTGGTAAGTTCTATTACTATAATTGTATTTCTTACTTGATCTTCAAAACAACTTAAAACAAAATTTAATATCCTCTTTTAAGTTTAAAGAAAACTGTTCTTGCTTGTTAACTCAAGTAGTACGTTGAGCTATATTAAAGTGATATATGAAGTCCTCTTTTTTTTCCTTTTTTTGATAGCATTATGTATTACTTTACTTGCACCTTGTTTTCAGTTAGTGCCACAATAACGGATATCGCAAAGACCCCCAGGTGTACCACTAAGATAGTACACATAATATGAACTACAATTTCTCACTTTGATGTTTGTTGACCAATTACAGCAGTTACTTCTCCCGTGAAAACACACCTGCCTGCTGACCTGACCGTCTGCTACTGTGGGATGTGTACCATTCAACCAGCCGGTTGCATAAGTGTTACACCTTAAGGTAGGTGGACATGAAGTTGGCATTCTTGTACCGGCTGACCCCTCGAAACGAAACCAACCAGGTCCGATTCCACTGTCACAATAACTGCCATTGGAGTAGGAGTACGTAATCTTTCTTTTATAACTGTTAAGGCTTGCGTAATTCTGACATTCTGATATAGAAAAAAATAATGATTTAACTTTTAAAAAGTTAGAAAATCATTGAATATTTTGATATTTTTTTTCAATTTATTGTTTCCAAAAATTTTATCTACTGTACATAAACGGGCTCAAAATGGGTAATTTTCACGTCCTGTAAGAACCCCAACACCAGCCCCACTGTGGCGATAATTGTCTACATACGAGTAATTGAGGATTGGTTACTGGCTTTCACACACACACACACACTGGTAGATATACAGACCGAGGTTAAGCAATAACATGGGAAAGGGAGACAAATATATCTGTAGGCATTCTTTAGCTGATCTCTGCTACATACGATGAAGTAGGGAAATAGTAGGTTAAATAATAATTCTCGCGGAGCAATTGTATAATTTTGTCGCGCGCGCAGCGCGCGTATTACGCGAGGATCGCAAGCGAGCTGCGATATCGCTTTGGTCATAAATCTTTCTATCGGTTTGGTGTCCGCAGTTGCCTAGCAACAGGCCATAAACAAATAATAAAGACGCCAAATGCATGTCATCGTGCATTTTGGGTTTCCAGGCAACACGGCCAGCGACTTTTTATTAATCCTCTGTTTATTGTAAGCTGGCGAATAGCAAGGTATTTCTGAGGGAAATAACAGCGGGCTGCAAACACAACAGTGCCCAATTGGACAAGTGGAAGTCCTTGCCGTGGACGGTTTAACACGGAAAGAACGGTGATCTGAACCTCAGCGAGAGCAGCGAAGAAGAAGACCACTCCGTTAATCGAGCGGCCTATTTAAAGCCCGAGAGTGAATAAACACGGAAATAATGCAAAATGGTTTTGAAATACTCGTTTGAGCTATTTTCCTCAAATGTATCTTTGAATTCATGATAAATACAGCTCCACAATGTTCAAACAGTGTGAATGGCAGAGAAAAATACTTCAACACTATTAATTTTGATGAGTTATCGGTGCAGTGGTCGCATGGCCCAGTGGTCAGAGGCCGCACAGTTGGGGTGCAACTGGGCTCCAACCCCGGCGTGTCTACTTCCATTTTTTTTTTTCTTTCATCGTTTTTTTACCCTTTGGCTTTTTACTGTTTATTCTCACTGCTGACCCCGTTGGCTTCGCGAGTTTTTTGCGAAAACGTATTTCTAGTTTTTTGCACTAAAATTGGTTCATTTCATCACATTGACGCTAGTTTCTTTATCGTCTGTCACTCTGTTATTGATTATAACATCGCATCATGACATTGTCAAAGTGTTGTGGATCCACGAGCACGAGCCCTAGGCGAGTGAATCTATTAGAAAACTTGACAATGTTGCTGCGGACCCGGCGTCAATTTAATTTTTACTTTAACAAAAGTTTGGAAAAAGGATCAGTAAAAAACATTTTGCCTTTTAAAAAGAAACTACCAACAATAGAACCAGGTTAATACGGACACATTAGGGGACTGCCATGGTGTCCGTATCATGCGGATGACCGTATTAAGTGGGCTCTCCGTAAAAACGTCCCGGAAACATCTTGTATTGATATAAAGACTATGACAGACAAAGAGGAAGAAGGGTAGGAACAATGACTGCGCGGAAAAGCCAAGGAAGAGAAACTTGAATAGTAATTATTAAATGGCTATATCATGAGTACACGGAAAGAAAGACTGACATAAAATCAAACATATCAAGCTATTCTGCTACTTAAACCCAGAAATCTGTCATTGTTTGGACAGTGTAAAATATCTACAAATAGCACGTGATTGTGACAAGGAAAATAGACGGTACGCAGATAGCCAGTGCCCGTAAATAGCAGGGTTGACAGAGTTTGTGCCTCAGGACAAAGAAAAGTGTCCATTGTGTCCGTATTATCCGGTGTCCGTATTAAAAGGGTAAGTTTTAGAAACTGTCCGTTATATACGGGTGTCCGTATTAAGCGGATGTTCCGTCTTGCATAAATTAAAATTTTATGTCTGTCCGGCTTCTTACTGATAGAAATTATAGCCAATCAGCGAGCGAGGAATAACTCAGTTAGTTTATGAAAATGTGGCTATCTAAGAAAACTCACAAATCCCGCGCTTTGTAGTGTCGGTAATAAAATACTTTTACTTTATACCTTTGTAACTGTAAAACAGAAAAAAAAAATCTTACTGAGTGGTCTTGTGCTATAAGGTTGCCTTGAAACATTGGCAGCAAGGTCGAGTTTCAAAATCCCTTGAGTGACGATGGCTACGAACTCAAAAGGAAGTATGAACTATTCCTGTTTGATTATTTGTTTTCATTGCCTGCAATTTCATGCAATTTCATTTTCTTCTTCTGCACGAATCCGTGTGCGTCAAGGGATCTCATAGAGCAAATAACAGAAAGCAGCGAACTAGACTTCCTGGAGATCTACCCTTTATAAAAACAAGCTCGCACAAGGGTCACATACGCTTGAAGCTTGTTATCATAATGATCAGGCTGAAAAGCACAAAATAACAAACTCCTATAAAGCTTTTTCTTTCTGAGCTTGCGTGCTAGCGGCATGATGATCTCTCTTCAAATGGTGCGGTTTTAATCTCGCAGCCTGCTGCGAATTTCAGTGACGTTACATTTTAGCCACTCCAGAGTTTATTAAATTCAGTCGGAGGCGTAGAGTCCATATTCTCCATATTTGGCATACCCGATCTCCCTATCAGTCACGGTCTCTTTCCATATAAGGAGCATATTAAGCAACCACGACTGCGACGGCATGGAGCGAAAACGCCACAAAAAAGTGTATTCACGCTGTTTCAAATTAATCTTTTTTCACTCTTATTCCATTTCGTTCAAGTTGATTGTCAAATGTTGGTGAATGGTTTTTGGTGTTGAATTCTAAGGTAATGTATCTCAATGCAGGAAAAGGAAAAACAATAGTTTTCTAGTCTGAAAGCGTTCCGTGTTTAGTAATGTTTAAAACATGAACAGCAGTGTTTTATCACTGGTTTAACATTCGTGCGTAATGAGCGCAAGATTTTCTAACCAGTGATAAAACGCGTGCCTTGCTTTTTTTGACAATCCTTAAGGTATCAGCCACCATTCAGGACCGTCCGCGCGCGGATCACTGTAGCGTTAGTTGTTTTTATAAAAACCCCTATAAACCATATATTTTTTAAAAGCTTAATAATTCCAGATTATGGATTTGAACTAACAAAAACGATTTACTAAAATGTGTTTCGAAATTGGAACGTTTTGTGTAAAAGCGCACTTCTCTATAAATCATGTTCCACTCCCGCCGGAAATAAACGGAAGAAAACAATTAACACCGCATTCGCTTCTCAACACGTTCCACTAAAAAATCGTGTCTTGGATTTTTGACAAGTGCGTTTGTGTTTCTTTTATTAGCAAATGAAGTTGGGAAAGGCAATTAGTCAACACTCCCCGTGGAAAAAAAGCTCTAACTTTAAAATGAAAAGGAGTATTAAAATTCGCAGACACAGTTTTGTAGAAGAGATATATGGCATCAATCTGGCCAAATTTTAGCCAAATTGACTGAAAGGCTGCCGACTTGGAGTTCAAAACGTACGAGTCGATCGGCAAAATTTGCGTTCGGAGATAAAATAGAAAATACATTTTGGCGGCATCCTACCTGGAATGAGATTATAACGCCTAAATGTTTATTCTGATTGATATCAGAGAGGGATCAATTTTCTCTAACAATAGGACTTTGACAGGTAACATGTAACAGGAACAAACTTTCGCGGCAAGCAAGGGAACAGTTTAATTCTCCGTTGGAAAACTTCCACTCTTTTACACCACGAGAAGCACGGTTTAATTCTTTCTCGAGCAAAAGTTTTGCCTCTCCTTCGATCTTTTTCGTATGATCCGCGCAGGCGTTTTTGTCGATCGGCGCCAGGCCAAAAAACTTTGAAGCCGCCGAATGTCCACCACCGATTGCTCGAAGGCCAAGAACTGAGGCCCGGTTTATTTCAAACGCTCTGCTCTTCTCGGAAGAACTAAAAACAGAATTTGTCTTGTGCGACGGACGGCTTTCATTCTCGCACTGGATTCTCCAGGTAGAACCAAGTCCATGCTTAGTCGCTACATTTTCCATGACTTGGACTCTTCCCTGGCAAAATCGACAAGCTACAGACTCGTCCAGTTTCTCAAGCAGCTTTTCGCTCGATACGATAGCTCGACCGCTTATTGTTTTCCACGTGCCATCAGCAGATGGGGTCGATGAGCTTAATTGGCTTTCTTCATCTGGCTCTTCAAGCTGGATTTTGGAGCGGCTTGCACTCTCAGCAACTGCAACATTTTCGCTTTTCTGAATATCCAACTCCTCGAGCCACTTCTCTTGCTGATAAAATGAGCCTTTGTCGCTCTCTGCCAATTTTGCGGCCCATTCTTTGTCAAACTGACTCTTCGATTTCCTTTTCGCTCTCGGTTTCGATGACGAAATTTTCTCTTTTTTTGGCGGCAAACGCTAAATATCCACGGAGAATACTAAAGGCTATAAACAACGCGAAGACAATTCGCACGTGTTCTGTCGAAGCACGCACTCGGTATCACGTTACTAGTTCACGGGCAAGTTAATTGATATATGACACGGGTATGACAGATCTTGTCAACGATCAATTAAGATAATTAACGAGAAAAAAATCTTTTACCCCCGATATCTTTCGACAGAAATAATATTTTCTTCTAATTTTTTTTTTAAAAGAAAGCTCTCAAGCATATCTATTTGAAAACGTTGAAACCTCAAATACGAAAAAATGGCAATTTTAAGGGTGGCTGATACCTTGCCTAGCCCCTTATCGGTAACAGGTTTAAGAAAATGGTCGATGCGCACTCTCGTAATATCGGAAACAGAAACAAGTTACACATGCCTTCCGGTCAGCTGCCATGAGCAGTCCGCCTCTGGAATGACTTATAATTAACAGAATCTTTAGGTAATAAAGAGAATCTCAAGCAGCTTAAGTGTGAAGTGAAAAAGCGTCATTTCCTTATTTCATTTTTTTCCCAATAAATTTCAGATATTGTTAAGTAGATAATTATGCTTTTAATTATCAAATTGCA